CACACACACACACACACACACACACACACGCAGACCCATCAACAAGTGCCCTGGTTCTTAGCAATTCCTGAGGTTTTCCGGACAGCACCTCTTTTGTCTGGAGGCTGCTTCCAGTGAGGCTCAGGGCCTTCACCTGGCCCACTGCCCAGCCCAGATTCCTGGGCTCTGGCCTGGCCGTGGCATGTTTGAATCTGGGTGTCAGGAGGCAACAGGGTTGTTCTCAGAGCTCCGTAGTTACCCTGACCAGTCAATGGGTGAATCCGGTGGCCCTTTCCCAAGCCTGTTACAATATCCTGAGGAATGTGGTCATCGCACCACTTTCTGGCCTCTGTGGTTTCTCATTGGAAATCTGATGTTAATGTTATTGGCGATCCTTCCTTCATGAGGAGTGCTGCTTTCGTGATGCTCTCCAAGTTCTCCCCGGCTCTTCACAGTTTGATTATGATGTGTGTAGGTGTAGATCTCTTTGAGTTTATCCTGCTTGGAGTTCGTTGAGCTTCTTGGAAGTGTAGATTAATGTTTTTATCAAATTTGGGAACTTTTCAGCCATTATTTCTTCACACATGCCTTCTCGCCCTTTATCTCTCTCTTCTTTCCTGGGACTCCCATTACAGGTATGTGGATGTGCTTGAGGGTGTCTCACAGGTCTCTGAAGCTCTGTTATCCCTGTTTCTGTTCCCCAGTTGATCTTCGTGGTCACTGATTCTTTCTTCTCACATCTGCTCTTGAGCCCCTCAAGTGAATTTTCATTTCAGTTCTTGTGCTTTGTCAACCCTTTTCATAACTTGTTTCCTTAATGATAATTCCCCAATTGATGAGACGTTGTTCTCACACTTCCCTTAGTTCTTTAGGCATGCTTTCTTCTAGCTCTCTGAACATATTTCAATGAACTGGTTTCAAGTCTTTGTCTAGCACTTAAATATCAGGGATAGTCTCCACTGATTGCTTCTTTTCCTTAGTAGGGGCCATACTTTCTTGTTCCTTTGTGTGTCCTGTAATTTCTTAAAAACACTGGACATTTCAAATAGTATAACGTGGCAGCTCCGGAAATCAGATTCTCTTCTTGGCCCCGGGTTTGTTATTGTCGTTGCTTGTGGCTGTAGCTGTTTCTTCCTTACTGATGTTCTGAACTAAATCTGTGAAGTCTCTATTCCTTGTTATGGGTGGCCGCTGAAGTCTACTGAGTTAGCTCCGTGGTCAGCTAATGACCGGTCAGGGGTTTCCTTAGATGCCTGGAAGTAATAAATCTCCCAGTCTTTGCCGAGGGGCTCTCTGTGTCCGGTGGGGCATCCCTTCAACACTCAGCCAGGCAGTCTACACCTCCTGGGTCCCCAGGGATGGACCAGAGCCTTTCCAAGCCCCTATGGACCCCTCATGCCCCAGCTTCTTCTTTTAAGCTTTCTGTTTTGTGTATTATTTGCCCTTGCCTCAGGCCGCTTGGGTTTTCAACAGTGGCCCTGATTACGTTCAAAGAACTCTCCTGAGGAAGATGCTGTTCACACAAGGGGAGCTCACGGGACCAATATAGACATCCCTGCAGGTGGGGCCTGCCTGGGAGCTCCCAGACAGGTCAAATACCGACAATTCTTTGCGAATGAGTCTTTGAAAACGCTCCAGCCGCGTGTGCTTCCACGGCTTGCTCCCAGGCTTCACTAGGCATTCAGGTTGCTCTTTGTCAAGGCTGTTGCTGAGCTAGAGACAGGGGTGAAGATATCACAAAGTTTGTTGTTCCCCAAGGTTTAGTCATTTTTCTTGAAGAAATGCTCCTGGGCAGATGGGAGCTTTTAGTTAATTTGCAGACTTCTGAAAAAGTTGAGTCTGATGATTTTTGCCAGTTTCCTCAGGGCTCTTATGGAGTGGTACTTTTCTGATTCCTGCCGTTTTCATAATTTCACTGCTCATCTAAGGGGCATTTATGAGACCTAAGATATCTCCAAGTGCCCTTACTCATATGTCACTGACGTTTTGGCTGGGTATAGAATTGTACATTGGAAATAATATTCCTGCCAAATTTTGAAGACATTTCTCATTGGCTTCTAGCTTCAAGGGTGCTGTGGAGCAGTCTGCTGCTACTTGAATTCCTAAAACTGAGACTTCTGTGTTCTTTATACCTCTGGACATCTTCCGGTTCTTGTTATGCCACCCTGCATAAGCGGGAGAGACACCCAGTGGATCTGTGGTGTGGGTGTCGGGACTCATGACACTGTACACACACCTGGGTGGCATGAAAAGTTTCTTACTTGCATCCCTGGGGACTCGAGAGATGGCAGGGCCGAGGTCTCAGCAGGTCCAAAGCGTGAGAGAGCAAGGAAAGAGAATGGCTGCCATTTATGTGTTTGGTGGGAATAGGTCAGGGTAATGGCTTGCTTACCTGGGCAGGGGCTTGGCAGTTTGAGTCTCCAGTTGAGGCCATGAGAGAGAGCATGAGAGTGTTAGTCTCAGCTTGTCCAGATACGGGGGG